TGGGGGGGGAAGGGGGGGCGGAGAGGGGAGGAGTGTCTTGTATTCGTTCTCGATGCAGGCATTTTAGGGGGTGTACTTAAATATATGTACCCATATATATATATATTGCCTTCAACGTAGATGCTATTAGAGTTATCCTACCGTTGGTGGTGCACCACATTTTGCCTCCCTCTTGTTTGTATAACTTGGGATCTTGCCCCTTCCCCCGTTGGGACCAGCCTGCGCGTCATCGTTACTAACCTGCGAGACGTCGCGGCGAGCAGCGCCATCGCGCCATCACCGCCTAATCTACACATGTGCGCCTCTCCGTGCTTGACGTGCGCCTCCTCCACCTCACTCTCGCTCTCCCCTCCTCGTCTTGCGCCGCTTCCTGCACCTGCCGCCGCTGCACCTGTCGCTGCTGCACTTGCTGCCGCTGCACCTGCCGCCACTGCACCTGCCTGCCGTCACGCCTGCTGCTGCACGTGCCATCCGTTCTGCCTTTCACAAGCCTCGCCATCTTCACGGGTCCGTTCTGCCTTGAGTGTAGCTAAACTTCCTATTCATGGTGGTGCACACTTTGCCTCTTGCTCTCGTTTCTATATTTTGTACCCCTCCTACTATTGAAACCTTTCTCTCTTGTAACTCTCGCTCCTAGCTGTTCCTAAGTTCAAGCCTTTAGGACCTCTTTTAACATTTTACCCTTCAATTTGGGAGGCTGGTTTATTGGCACAAGCCAATGATAAGCGCATGAAGGTGGAGCGCTGAGTCTATATCCGGTCCACGTTTATAAACGTTTTTTTTTTTTTCTAACACATCTAATGATATCATGTGCACAACATTTCGTGGGTAAAAGGCATGACTTTGTGCAAATTATCATAATGTACATTCGCACAACATTGTGATATGAATGTAAACACAACATTGCAGCTAATGCACACAAACTATAACATTACGAATAAATTGTATTCGTGCAACGAATTAGGATGAACTCGGTTTTCGAGCATGTAATCTAACAGCTTCTTAGCCTTTGTTGAGTTAGTTTAATATATCATTGTACGGTAGGATGCACCCATGCTAGCTTCATATGTTGATCATGCAGGTGCTGATGTGGCAGTCCTCGAACAAGTCATTGGGGAAAATCAACGGGTACCGTTATTGAAACTCTATAACCCAAACATTAGAGCTGTTTTAGGTTTCATAAGATAGTTCAGCTAGTCTAATGATTTGATCCTCCTTCTATCGATGGCGTATATGTTAGTTTAAGGTGTGGTACGTCGGCTTCATCGTACACCCAGTTTTTCGCTGTTATAAATTCCGTATACACACTAGCGAGTGATACTGTTCATTGGATGTATTCGTCGTGGCAACACTAACCATCTTTAGCACTATACATTGTTTTTTTTCTTCTTCTTCTTCTTTTCCCCAACCCTATTGTTTGTTAGTTACCACCCTCAAACATAGCTCACCTCGTTGAAAAGCATTGATTCGAACTGTGATCATCACACGCTATTAGAAATGGTGAGTTTCCACAAAACAATAATTCAGAATACCATGTGGGGAGTTACTGTACGGGTAGTTGAATTATGTGGGAAGGCATGGGTGGTACGAGTGCTCGTAGCGTTCCCTGTGTTCTCTAACACTTGCGAGTTCATAGGGCAAAATGGCAAGAGTTTCACCAGCAAAAATTGTGTATACAATGATGAAATGGCAATGGCAAAACGTGACCACATAGGGGGGCGGCCTGCCATGTCAAACTGTTATATTGCTTGTGTTATGTCCCAATTAGGGTTAGTACTTGTCCCAATTATGCATTGGCATTCATTCCCGTTCAATATTCTGACATGATATTAAACAAATCCTATCCCAGGACCGTTTTTTTTTAGGTCCCACCGTATAGTTCGCTGCCTGTAGCGCGTTACCCTACTCGTAGCGCCCTACCCTGCCCGTCGCGCTGCCCCACCGGTCGTGCTGCCCGCCCTGCCCGTCGCGCCGCCCTGCTAGCCGCGCGCCGCCCTGCCCTGCCCGTCGCGCCGCCCTGCTGGCCGCGCGCTGCCCTGCCTGCCCGTCGCGCCGCCCTGCTGGTCGCGCGCCGCCCTCCCCTGCCTGTCGCGCTGCCCTGCTAGCGCCGCGCCGCCCTGCCCTGCCCGCGCGCCGTCCTCCTGGCCGCCGCGCCGCCCTGCCCTGCCAGTCGCGCCGCCCTGCTGGCCGCGCGCTGCCCTGCCTGCCCGTCGCACCGCCCTGCTCGTCGCGCGCCGCCCTCACCTGCCCGTCGCGCTGCCCTGCTAGCGCCGCGACGCCCTGCCCTGCCCGCGCGCCGCCCTGCAGGCCGCCGCGCCGCCTTGCCCTGCCCGTCGCGCCGCCCTGCTGGCCGCCACGCCTCCCTGCCCTGCTCGCGCGCTGCCCTGCTGGCCGCCCCACCGCCCTGCCCTGCCCGCACGCTGCCTTGCTGGCCGCCGCACCGCCCTGCCCTGCTCGCGCGCCGCCCTACTGGCCGCCGCCCTGCCCTGCCCTGCCCGCGTGCCGCCCTGCTGGCCGCCGCCCTGCCTTGTCGGTTGCGCCGCCCTGCCCTAGCCGTGCGCCGCCCCGCCCTACCCTACGCGCTTCCTTAGCACTTGCGCGCCGTCCTTACTTGCGTGCTGACGCTGCTGCTCGCCTAGCCGTTCGCAACCACCTACCGTTAGCCGAACGCGCTCACTTTGGCCAGCACAAGACTGCTAAAGCCATGTATGAAGCTGTAGTTGCTCGTTACTCCTCCCCTGCCACTGCTGCTCTCGGCCGCCTTATACTGCCCTACCTTTTTCCCGAGCTATCCGCCTTTGCCACAATCGACGACCTAATCACCCACCTTCGTACTAGTGACACTCGCTACCGCGCCGCGCTTCCCGCCGAGTTTCTCGCCAAGAACCCCCCCCCCCCCCCCCCCCCCCCCCATGTACATCGCTCTCTACTTCATCGTCACCTGCCTCCCTGACTCTCTTAGCGCAGTCAGGGACCCCTTTCTCGCCATGGACCCCACGGACCTCACTGTCGACCTGCTCGAGAAACACCTCCTTGCAAATGAGGCTAGCATAGTAGGTGCTGCTCGTGGCACTCCTCGCACTCCCTTCTTTGAGGGGTGTTCCCCCTCCCCCCTTGCCCCCTCCTACGCTTCTGCTGCTGCTGTTGACTTCCTTCGTGTTGAGGAGGTCGGGGCTGCGTCTGCTCCTAGTGGGAGGCGTCGCAGCGGCAAGGGCAAGGGAGGCAAGGGTGGTGGGGGTGGCAGCGGTGGAGGCGGTGGTGGGGGCGGTGGAGTCGGTGGAGGTGGCGGTGGTGGCGGAGGGAGTGGTCGTGGGAGTGGAGGCGTTGGTGGCGGCGGTGGTGGCGGCAGTGGGAGTGGTGGCGGCGGCAGTGGTGGCGGCAGTGGGAGTGGTGGCGGCGGCAGTGGTGGCGGCCGGGGTGGTACTGGTCAGAGGGGATGTTCTGGCGGTGGTCAGAGGTAGCAGCAGCAGCGTCAGCGTGAGACCACTTCACCCCATGAGCTTCGTGAGTGGTTTGCTCAGCGTGGGACGTCTGGGGGTAGTGTTCGCTGCTAGTACATCATTCGCACAGGTGACCGCTCTGGTCAGACATGCGGGAAAGTTGGTCACACCCGATCCCGCTGCTTCTCCCGTCTTGACGACGCCTGGCGCGCAGAGTTTCCCGACGCGACTGAGCTTCCCCGCTGGCTAGAGCTGCTTAGGCAGGGTGTTGATATGATGCTATCCTTGCTGCCATGTATGCATTGATTGTTAGTGCTGAGGGTGACTGTTACCTGTGTGTGCCGCCCGACCCAGGTATAGAGGCTGCTGCTCTAGATGCTAGTGAGTCTGCTCTCCCTGGTACTGCGCCTGCTGAGGCCTTGCACACCTTCACGCTTGACTCAGGTGCTTCCCACTGTTTCTTTTGCAACAGTACCACAGTCACACCACTCCCTACACCTGTTGCTGTCAGACTGGATGACCCCTCAGGGGGCCCAGTTCTTGCCCGTTCCTCCACTGTTCTCCCGTGTCCGGCGGTTCCGTCTGGCTCACTCTCAGGTCTTCACCTCCCCTCGTTCTCTACGAACTTGGTGAGTACCGCTGCCCTCCAGGATGCGATGGTCACTACCACCACTCCTGGGGGCCAGCGTGTGTCGATCTGCACATGTACACGGACGGGCCGTCACTTGGCCACGTTCACCTGTCGGCCTGGGTCGAGTCTGTACACACTGACTACTGCGCCTCCTCAGGTAGCTGCGTCTGCGTCCGCGTCAGATCAGCTAGCAGCCCCCTGCTCGTGTCGCGCCCTGTCGCACCAGACGCTCCTTTGGCACCACCGCCTTGGTCACCCCTCCGTGCCACGCCTCCGTGGCATGCACTCCCGTCTCGTTGTCTCTGGTCTTCCCAGGTCTCTGCCTCCCCTCTCACCCTCGCCTGCCCCTCCCTGCCTTCCCTGTGTCGAGGGGCGGCAGCGCGCCGCTCCTCACTCCTCGTTTCCCCCGACGACTGCTCCTCTACAGACTCTCCACATGGACGTGTGGGGCCGAGCCCGCGTCCGTGGACAGGGCCTCGAGCGATACTTTCTGCTGGTTGTTGACGACTACTCGCGTTACACCACGGTCTTCCCCTTGCGCATCAAGGGGGAGGTCCCTGATGTTTTGATCCCTTGGATCCGCGCTGTCCGTCTCCAGCTCCGCGAGCGGTTCCACGCGGACCTTCCTGTCCTGCGTCTGCACTCTGACAGAGGTGGTGAGTTCGCCTCCGACCTCTTGCGGGAATTTTGTTGTGGGGAGGGCATTCGCCAGTCGTTCACGCTTCCGGCCTCTCCGTAGCAGAATGGGGTTTCTGAGCGTCGCATTGGCTTAGTCATGGAGGTCGCTCGTACCTCCATGATCCATGCGGCTGCTCCCCATTTTCTGTGGCCGTTTGCGGTCCGGTACGCTGCGCAATAGCTCAACCTCTGGCCCCGTGTCTCCTTGCCGGAGACCTCACCTACACTGCGTTGGACGGGGAAGGTTAGCAATGCGTCGGTGTTCCGGGTCTGGGGTGTTACAATACGATCTGAGCTGGTAACCGGGTTTAACTAGGGGCCTAGGCTTAGTAGCCTAGGCCAAGCGGGTGTCGAGTAGTTTGTGCCAAAGGAGGAATGTCGAGAATGAGTTTAGCTTCACTATAGGTTTAGGGAACATATAGCAAAAAACAAACGGGTGCACCACCAAGCAAACAATTAGATAACTACACTACAGTAACTACAAAAAGCAGGATATATTAAATATAACTTTAACACACCCCCTTAGCCTGCTTGCAGTAATAACTAGTGCAGTCAACACCCCCCGAAATAGGTACACCTGGTGCAGTGGATGACGGCAGAGAGTTAAATGAGGAGGAGGCGAGAGGGAGAGAGGAGAGGAGAGGGGAGAAGTACCAAGGAGGAGGTGAGAGAGGGATGAGGCGAGGAGTTGAGGGGGAGCCACCCGTGGAGAAACCCTCGTAGTAACCCCCCTTTACAAAGGGGGGAGGTGAGAGAGTGACGAGGAGAGGAGGTGGGGGGGAGCCAAGCACGGCGAAACCCCTCTTAGTAACCCCCAAATCCCCACACCCATTCAACCACCCCCCCTTAACCTCACCCCCCATAACAGCCGCTCCCTTGGACCGCACCCCCCCCCCCCCCCCCCCTTCCTTCCTCCATACCCCTGCCCCACCCACGGTAGTCCCTGCAGCGGGGTCTCTGCGGGCGGTGTAGCTGCTGGGGGGGTCTCTGCTGGCGGTGTAGCTGTTGGCGGGGTCTCTGCGGGCGGGGGTCTCTGCTGGCGGGGGTCTCTGCTGGCGGGGTCTCTGCTGGCGGGGTTTCTGCTGGCGGGGTCTCTGCTGGCGGGGTCTCTGCTGGCGGGGTCTTTGCTGGCGGGGGTCTCTGCTGGCGGGGTCTCTGCTGGCGGGGTCTCTGTTGGCGGGGGTCTCTGCTGGCGGGGTCTCTGCTGGCGTTGGTCTCTGTTGGCGTTGGTCTCTGCTGGCGGGGTCTCTGCTGGCGGGGGTCTCTGCTGGCGAGGTCTCTGCTGGCGGGGTCTCTGCTGGCGGGTTCTCTACTGGCGGGGTCTCTGCTGGCGGGGGTCGCTACTGGCGGGGGTCTCTGCTGGCGGGGTCTCTGCTGGCAGGGTCTCCGCTGGCGTTGGTCTCTGTTGGCGTTGGTCTCGGCTGGCGGGGTCTCTGCTGGCGGGGGTCTGTGCTGGCGGGGTCTCTGCTGGCGGGGGTCTCTGCTGGCGGTGTCGCTGCTGGCGGCTGGCGCTGGTGCTGGTGCCAGGTGTCGGTGCTGGTGCTGATGCTGGTGGACGTCCCGCCGTCACCCCTTTCCCCCTTTTCGCCTCCCCCCCACAGCGCTCCGCCGCCACTCCCTTCCCCTCCTCCCTCTCCCCCCAAAGCGACCGCCGCTGCACCTGCGAACAGTCGCGACGGAGGGTGATCACAGGCAGGGGGCGGAGGGAATGCGACGGGCAGAGCGGCGGCGGGCGAAGAAGTGGCTGGGGCGACGGGAAGCAGGGCGACAGGCGACGGTGCAGGTGATGTCGGTTGGCTGGTGGTCCGCCGCCACGCCCTTCCCCCTTCCCTCTCCCCCCCATATCGCGACCGTCGTTGCACACGCGTACAGCCGCGACGTTGGGTGACGACCAGGAGCCGCGGGGCCTTCGATCGAGCGGGACGAATAAGGCGGGGAGCGAACTGGCGGCGGTTTGCGTACGGACAGCAGGGTGTGTGCGGAACGCAAGGCGAAGGGCGAACGGGCGACGGGCGACGGGCTGATCGTGAGAAAACACTCACGAGGCGCACTACGGGGCGCGTCATTGTGAGCGCTGACGGTGGGCCCATTTAAAAAACGGTCCTAAATCGGACCTAGCTCAATACCATGTTACAATACGATCTGAGCTGGTAACCGGGTTTAACTAGGGGCCTAGGCTTAGTAGCCTAGGCCAAGCGGGTGTCAAGTAGTTTGTGCCAAAGGAGGAATGTCGAGAATGAGTTTAGCTTCACTATAGGTTTAGGGAACATATAGCAAAGAACAAACGGGTGCACCACCAAGCAAACAATTAGATAACTACACTACAGTAACTACAGCAAGCAGGATATATTAAATATAACTTTAAGATGGGGCTCTCGTGCCTTTGTCCGCGATACTTCCGCAGATAAGCTCTCCTCCCGCGCCATTCCCTGCGTCTTCCTTGGCTTTCCACCTGACGCGCCTGGCTGGCAGTTTTACCACCCCACCTCGCGCCGTGTCCTGCCCTCTCAGGACGTCACGTTTGACGAGTCGGTTCCCTTTTACCGTCTCTTCCCCTACCGCACTGCCCCTCTCCCCCCACCCGCCCCTATTCCTCGCACCAGGTCCTCCTCCGGTAGACCCCCTCCCCCCTCAGGGTCCTGCTCCCTCAGGTTTGTCTCAGGTATTCCATGTCGAGCCTGTCGAGGTAGCTGTCGACTCTGGTGCTGCTGGGCGTGGTGCTGCTAGGGGTGTTGCGTCTGGGGGTGCTGAGCCTGAGCGTGCGGAGCCTGGGGATGCTGAGCCTGGGGTTGCTGAGTCTGAGGGTGCGGAGCTCGGGGGTGCTGAGCCTGGACGTGCGGAGCCTGGGGGTGCTGAGCCTGAGCGTGCGGAGCCTGGGGGTGCTCAGCTTGGAGGTACTTTGTCTGCTGGAGGTCCTACGGGTGCTTCGTCTCGATGGGAGCCTCTCTCTCCACCGCAGCTGCGCGAGTGGTTTGCTCGGCGCACCCGCCTTCGGAGTGGAGCTGCTGGAGCTGGGGGGCCTGCCGCTGGAGGCCCTGGAGCTGGAGGCACTGGAGCTGCTGGTCCTGGAGGTGCTGGAGCTGCTGGTCCCGGAGGTGCTCGTACTGGAAGTACTGGAGCTGCTGGAGCCGGTGGTACTGCAGGCACTGGAGCTGGAGGTACCGGAGGTGCTGGATCTGCTGGTCTTGGAGGTGCTGGAGGTGCTGGAGGTGCTGGAGCTGCTGGAGCTGGTGGTGCTGCAGGCGTTGGAGTTGGAGACCCTGTCGCTGGAGACCCTGGAGCTGGAGGTGCTGGCCCTGGGGGTTCTGGTGCTGTCGGTCCTGGTTCTGGAGGCACTGTGTGGCCGCGACCGTACTTCATTCCACTGCTTCACCAGGTTCTTGGTCTCCCGTCTTCTACTGGCCTTACTCCTCCCTTACTGTGTCCACCGCCTGACCAGTCGCAGCCATAGTTACAGCCGGACTCCCCACTGCCTGCTCCTTCTCCTTACACTGAGCAGGCAGACTCTCTTACAGAGCGTCGTGTGCCTAAGTCTCGTCCTGTCTCGCCTGTTTGCGCTGTTCGCACTGGTCGTCGTGTTCCGCGTCAGCGTCCTCCTCCTGTCCCCGGCACTCACGGTATGGCACTTCGTCTTTCCTCTGTTCCACTGCGAGTTCCCCTGCCGTCTCCTCCGGCGTCCTCTCTACCTGACGTTCCGGACCCTGAGTCTGACTTGGTTCGTGCTGCCAGTCCTACTGTCACCCATCTCCTAGCCACTGTTGTCACTGACCCTTCGTTTGAGTCCGGTGCTGCGTCTGCCCTAGTTGCTGAGCTTGTTGACTTTGCTGCCGCCTGTCGTCTCGACTACGCCGCTAGTCTTGTTGCTGAGTCTGAGTCTGACTGTCCTCCGTCCGTCGGGGGTGAGTGTGCTCTTGGCATAGACGTCCTTGAGGACATGCAAGAGGACTTTGAGTGTTTTGCAGTTGCTGTACCTCATCTCGTGTCCATGCTGATTGCACCTGAGGGAGACCAGGATGCACCAGACATCCCGACCCCGCGCTCTTACGTAGAGGCAATTACGGGTCCCTACTCCTCTCAGTGGAAGACAGCCATGGACGCAGAGATGGCATCCAGAAAGTCCACAGGCACGTACGTCGACGCAGTTCCCCCTCCTGGGGCGAACATAGTCGATGGCATGTGGATTTTCAGGGTGAAGCGGCCGCCAGGTTCTCCGCCTGCCTTCAAGGCTCGTTACGTTGCACGAGGCTTTAGTCAGCGACAGGGAGTTGACTTCTTCCAGACCTTCTCCCCTACCCCGAAGATGACCACTCTTCGGGTGCTGCTGCACATCGCCGCTCAGCGTGACTACAAGCTTCACTCTCTTGACTTCAGCACAGCTTTCTTACAGGGCAGTCTGCACGAGGAGATCTGGCTGCGCCACCCACCTGGCTTCACTGGGTCGTTTACTGCAGGTACCCAGTGAAGCCTCCGACGGCCATTCTACGGTCTCCGCCAGGCGCCTCGCGAGTGGCACGACACACTGAGGACGACACTTGCGGCTCTTGGGTTTGCTCCTTCGACTGCTGACCCGTCGTTGTTTCTGCGCACCGACACTTCGCTGCCGCCGTTCTACATCCTCGTGTACGTCAACGACTTGGTTTTTGCCACTGCTGACACTGAGGGACTGGCCCTTGTGAAGTCGGAGCTGCAGAAGAGACACACGTGCACTGACCTGGGTGAGCTACGCAGCTATCTTGGCTTGCAGATCACCCGGGACAGAGCACGGCGCACCATTACCGTGACTCAGTCACACATGGTGCACCAGGTCCTTCAGCACTTCCGCTTCCAGTACTCCTCGCCACAGTCCACTCCTCTGCCTACCGGTCACTCGCTCTCAGCTCCACCTTCAGACGAGTCCGTAGAGCCGAGTGGCCCGTATCCAGAGCTTGTGGGCTGCCTCATGTACCTGATGACCTGCACTCAACTTGACCTTGCCTACCCTCTTAGCATCCTGGCACGCTACGTTGCGCCCGGGAGACACCGACCAGAGCACTGGGAGGCCGCGAAGAGGGTGTTGCGCTACTTGTGCAGTACGTCGGGCATGGGGCTCGTGCTTGGAGGACGGGGTCCAGTTGTCCTCACTGGATACGCAGACGCGTCTTGGGTTGACGACTTGACTACGCAGCGGTCGTCACAGGGTTACACTTTCAGCCTTGGCTCCTGCTCTGTTTCTTGGCGGTCTACCCGCTCGTCTTCTGTTCTCAGTTCCAGTTGTGAGGCTGAGATCTATGCAGGGGCCATGGCTGCACAGGAGTTACGCTGGCTCACCTACCTGTGGACGGACTTGGGAGAGCCGCCTCGTTCTCCTCCAGTTCTGTACGTCGACAACAAGGCCATGATTGCCTTTTGTCAGGAGCACAGACTGGAGCACGTGGCCTCTCGGGCCAACACTGCTGATATATTCACCAAGGCACTTCAGCCTTGTAATCATCAGCGTTTCTGTACTGTTTTGGGCCTTGTGCCTACTTGGTCTCACTTGCTCACTTCGTGACTTTGCTTGTACTGTGATATATATATATATACCTACATGCTTACACTTGCTAGGTAGGGATCACTGTACTGATTGTTCTTCTTTATATAACTCTGCATGTGAACTGGCCTTGTGGCCATTTGCTTGTGCTCAGAGTGTGTGGTGACGTCATGATCCACCCTGAGCTAGCTTTGCATTTTCTTGATTGGTCTTGTGGCCCCTCGTTCTCCCCCACTTTGCCTATGCGGGTGTGTCAAACGGTTATAGACCATAAGGGGTACAGCCCAATTAGGGTTAGTATTTGTACCAACTTCCTACTCAATGCATTCATTCCCGTTCAGTATTCTGACATGCCAGCACGGCATGTGTCGCGATATATATTTTATATATGTTTATAACTGCCTGTAGCTTTAGCTTTAGTGTAGTTATGTTTCCTTGCAGTTGGTGGTTCACCTTTTGCATGCTTGTCTTGCATATTTGTAGCTGCCGAACTATAGTGAAACTAACTTGTTTGGTGAATGCTCTCGACCGTCCCTTGGCACGCTCCGCTGGTCACCCGCTTGGCCTAGGCTTCTAAGCCTAGGCCCTTAGTTTAACCCGGCGCCTAGTTAAGTTCGCTTCGTAACATGGTATCAGAGCAAAGGTCTCGGGTTCGAATCCCAGTGTGTGCACTTCGGGCATCCCAGTGCGGGGGGGTGTCAGAAGTTCACTGGTGATCCCCGATTGATCCTAGGGAAGGGTTACAGGCTCGTTGTCCTGGGGGGTTATGGGCGCACTGACCCGCTTCTTAACAAGCCTTTTTTTCCTAGTGGTTAGTGGCTGGGATTCTGACATGGTATCAGCAGCTACACCGCCAGCAGAGACCCCCGCCAGCAGAGACCCCCGCCAGCAGAGACCCCCGCCAGCAGAGACCCCGCCAGCAGAGACCCCGCCAGCAGAGACCCCCGCCAGCAGAGACCCCGCCAGCAGCTACACCGCCAGCAGAGACCCCGCCAGCAGCATAGTACACCGGTCCCCCCTCCCTTCCGCGGCTTCCACAGTGGGGGGGGGGGGAGATTAGGGGGTGGCGGGAGTGACCAGCAATTCGTCACGAGCTGCCTCTCCTCCTTTCTCTCTCCCTGCAGGGCTTGTCGCTGCGAGAAAGGGGGGGAAGAGAGGTTGAGGGGGTGGCAGAGGCAAGTCGGGCATCTGCAGCCGCTGCCTGTAGCAGGCACGCCCCCGGAGGTGCTGAGCTGCGCTGTCCAGCTGCTCGTTGCAGCCACGGCGCCTGCTCTCCCG